ACTGTAGGCTGTTTAGGTTTTATCATTTTTAAACTAAAAGTTTAAAAATATCCGGGAGGGACTCAGAGTAGAGCCGCTGCTCCTCCACGTCGAGAGGAGCCAGTTGAGGTGGCTTGGGCATCTGGTAAGGATGCCTCCTGGACGCCTCCCTGGTGAGGTATTCCGGGCACGTCCCACCGGGAGGAGGCCCCGAGGAAGACCCAGGACACGCTGGAGGGACTATGTCTCTCGGCTGGCCTGGGAACGCCTTGGAGTTCCCCCGGAGGAGCTGGAAGAAGTGGCTGGGGAGAGGGAGGTCTGGGCCTCCCTTCTGAAGCTGCTGCCCCCGCGACCCGACCCCGGATAGGCGGAAGAAAATGGATGGATGGATGGATGGAAGTTTAAAAATATAGTACACAGATGGGGCCATTTTATTTACACGCAAAGCATTCTGGGTAAATGATGACRTGGGTAGGTCATCGGTGTGAGGCTGCTAGCGAGCTATRTCCACCCTGAAGGTTAATCTTGGACAATATCTGATGATTGCCTCTTTTAAATGAAACCAGAGAGCGTTGACAGAGAGGAGAAGGTAGAAATGACTCAGYCTGTAACTGAAAATATGGATGGAGGACCTCAGTTTAGCTTGTTTGTCGCACTAGCACCGAGCTAATATATATAAGACAATATGGCGTCAGCATTAGCACAAAGGCTAACAGGCTAAGCTGAGGTTCTTCTTCCATGAAGCAGCTCTGTTGTCCTCCATCCATATTTTCAGTTCCAGGCTGAGTCATTTCTACCTTCTCCTCTCTGTCAACGCTCTCTGGTTTCATTTAAAATAGTCGATCATCAGATATTGTCCAAGATTAACCTTCAGGGTGGATATAGCTCGCTAGCCGCCTCACACCGATGACCTACCCACGTCATCATTTACCCAGAATGCTTTGCATGTAAATAAAATGGCTTCGTCCGTGTTACAATATATTTTTAAAAATGTACAAAACTAAACAGCCTACAGTTTTTTTTTTCTGAAAAGAGCATCACTGAGTGAGAACTAATGTTGAGAGCTCAATAGAGAGTTTAAGTTTCACTTTCACTTTCACCAAGAGCCTGCAGGAGTCATGGGTGGGGTGTGTGGGGAGGGGGGGCACTCTGCCATGAGGAAGTTTGGCTTAAAGACACGTCCCAGGGGCGTTCCTGGTACCAAAAGGCGTTTCTGGTCCCCACCTGTTGTTTTGCTCCTCAGCATGGCTTCCTAAAAACACTGCAGGATTTCTCAAACATGCATTAATGACTCAAAGCAAGGCTTTGGGCATGTTTTTTTATGAGAGTATAGCATTATAACATGATATAAAACTCAAAAAAGTTGATTTTGCATGATATTGCCCCTTTAATGTTTTTGTTGTTTATTCATTTTCTGGTGGCACAGGTGTTTAGATTAGTCCTGCACCTCCAGGGTATAAGGGGCGTGGCTGCAGGCACTCAGGTGAAGCTCATRTGTCATTTCGAGCTGCTGGGTGAGAATTTTTGGGGAAAAACGTTTTGTTGACCATCATCATCATCGTCGTCTTAGTGTTATCTTTTTGTAGTTATGCCTCAAGCGTTGTCCATACGGCTTAATTTTTGTTTTTTAAAGTAAATGCATAAAACACTAGCGGACTCGTGAATGGCCTGTTTTTTTGGAGACGTGTCACGGAACAAAAACTTCTCAGCCGGCGGCGGCCTTTTTGTTGATCAAAGTCGCTACAATACACGTGGGGAAACTACCGGAGTAAACTCTTTCAAACTGCATCATATTAACCATTTTTATGTTTGATTTCATGGTTTGTAATGAGAAGCTTTAAAGATTAACGGCCTGCACGGTAAAAACGTGTCAGCCAGCAGATATAAGTGTCAGTGGGTCGAAGGAGAGGGGACCGAGCGATGGACAGCATCACTCCATCCATCACCTTATCTGCCGGTGGGGGAGGGGGAGGGGGGCTGCACGCCATCAGAATTCATCAGAGAGAGCAGAGGATTAAATTCCACGAGAAGGAGGGGAATAAAGATGGAGGAAACGAGGGAGGGTACGCTGTCTGCTCAGGGCAGCTGGATTTGTTCGGGGCAGGCTGCCGCCTCCACACTTCACCGGTGGAGCGAAGGAGATGTGATTGTGGGGGAGGTGTGTGTGTGTGGGGCGGGGGGGTGGGCCGGGAGATGA